CTCTTTAAATTTTGAGGAGATCTGTGCGCATGTGTAGTAAAACTCTCCGAGGATTGGGCTGGGGTGTCCACTAGCTCAGACACCCCTATAGTCACCCGAATGGAGGTGTGCAGACAGCAAGGGACCAGTGAACAGCTACCAATACAAAAGGATGTCCACACCTTTATCTCAGCGGTTCTGCCAGGCGTCTGTGGCCGCTCTGATCCTTCCCCCGCTTGGTCTCACCCAAGATGGCAGCTCCTCGAGCAGGTGAGCGTCTCGAATTAGAAAGCAATGGATTTGTTGCTTCTGCCACAAATTCCCCCAGTTGTAAGCCTTCCAACCTTCTAAATATTCCTTTATATGTGGTTCAGAGTTCTGGTACCATCTCCTGATCCTGCTTGGTCAGGTATTCTGTGTCGTTCCTGGTGGAGCTCCTTTACTGCACTTCCTCCCGATCCACCATCTTGTTTTTCTATTCTTAGTTTTAATGTTTCCTTTTTCTGCTTGGATCTGCATTTTCATGATATTGTGAAGTATTAATTTTCTTTTGCGTTACCTTCTTATCTGTTAAAAGTTTTTCCTGTATTCAAGGCATTCTATTGTATCCTTCAATCTACCTGACCTCCTCACCACCTGGATCTCTGTTCCTGTATTTTTCCCTTCTTTGACATTGTTAATATTTTGATCTTTGATTGGCTTTACAGGTCCTCTGTTCTGAAGTCTGCTATTTGTCAACTGAGTTCTGGGTGGTGCCATGTCTGTCAGTTTCTCGTTGTTGTCTGTTCTTGTGGTTTCCATTCCATACAACTCTTTTAAGATGTTTGAAGTGCTAGATTGGCTTCGACAAAATCTCTTAGCTTCTGTTTATCCTGGAATGTTTTGATTGCACCATTGTATTTGATTGATAGTTTTGCTGGATAGACGATTCTTGGTTGGCAGTTTTTCTTTTAGGGTTTTATATATGTCTCCCCATTGCCTTCTTACCTGCATGGTTTCTGCTTAGAAGTGTGAACTTAATCTGATTTGTTTGTCTTTGTAGGTAGCGCTTCCGTTTTCTCTGACTGCATTTAGGATTCTTCCCTTGTCTTTGATTTCGGAGAGCTTGATTATGATGTCTTGGTGTGGGGTCTGTCCTACCTCGGGTTTGTTCAGCTTTTTGATTGTTTATCTTCTCATCATTGAAGATGTTAGGGAAATTTTCTTCCAGTAGTTCCTCAGCTATCTTCTCTGTGGACTTCTGTGATTCTTCCTGTTCTGGAATGCCCACAATTCTTAAGTTACTCCTCTTCATGTTATCAAGCATGAATCTTAGACTCTCTTCAGATGTTTTTATCCTTTTTTTCTGCTTGCTCTTCTATTTTAGCAGTATTGAGGGATTTGTCCTCTAGCTTTCTGGTTCTGACTTTAATCTCTTCATTTATCCTCCTTTGCCCTTTCAGTGTATTTTCCATTTCTGATATTTTATTATTAACCATCTGGACCTCTTTTTGCAGGTTTTGAATGGTTTCCAATGCTACATCTATCTTGTTTGATTGCTCCTGTAGCACTTTCCTGTCTTCTTCCTTATTTTCTTCCACCCCTTTGTGGAGCATTTGAATTTGTTTCCATATCATTCTTCTGAATTCCTTCTCAGGCAGATCCAAAGCCTGCTCTTCTTCTACTGGGAAGTCTGTGTCTGCCTCCAGCTCATTTATCTCAGTTACTCTTCTGTTTTTGAACTTATATTGACATCTTTTGCTGTGTTTTCTTGGACATTTTCAGTACTTATGTGGGTTTTTAATGCTTAAATGTATTTATGTTGCTGTGTTGTTAAGCTTCCTGAGTGTCTCCTGGTGGATGTGATCTGGAGATAGGCCTCCCTTTTCACATGTAATGCCTACCTAGCAGTTGGTATTGGCTCTTTTCCAGATGGTGGGATATTATGAGGTATATGAACACAATTGCTCTCTTTTTGAGTAAGATAGGTGCAGAAACCTCCCATCCCCAGGAGAAGAGTGATACCAAAACAGCCAAAAATAGATACAATATAAAAGCAGAGAGACAGAAACCACCACTCAAAACCAAACATAAAACTGTAGCCGACTGTCCAGTAATCTTTGCTGTGCAGAAAGGGATAAAGGGCCCCACCCAGGGACCCAACTTTAGGGCTGGGTCCCAGAGTTAGACATCAGAAGAAGCTGGGGTTCTCAGGAACCTCCTCCCTGGGAACATTGTGGGTGCAACACTGGACCCTTTTGGTGGTGCGCTCCCGCCCACTTGAAGGTGTCCAGGCTGAGCAGTGAGTGTGCAATCGCAGAGAGGAAGAAAGAAAAGTGAGAAATGAAAAGTGAAAAATCCGTCATACCTCTTTTTCCAGACACAGCTCCGCCCTAGCCTTTTGATTGTCAATCCAGTGTGTATCCTACAGCACCAGCATGACTTTTCTAGGGATGCACAGAAGAATGTAAGATCAACTATGCTGATATGAGTATAAATAAAAATTGAATGCCATTTTATTGAAGTTATACATGATTATTAGGAGGAAGAAGGCCAGGAATGTTTTTGTAGTATTCATGAAAATATAAAAATTAAATGTCATTTCAAATTGTTTTTATTTAACTTTAAGACTGAATTATTTTACTCATTTTATTATAAAGGTACCACAAGTTGATTTGGGGACCTCATAAGATGGATTCAAAAGGAAATATCTCTGGAGTTCTGATTGCAGGTGGTGAAAATGGGAATATTATTCTCTATGATCCTTCTAAAATTATTGCTGGAAACAAAGAAGTGGTGATTGCTCAGAATGACAAGCATACTGGCCCAGTGCGAGCCTTAGATGTGAACATTTTCCAGGTTAGACATTGACATTTATTAATAATTCTTAAAATATTTCAAAATAAGTATATGACTTTATTGTACCTCAGTCTTGGAATTAAAAACTAAGCTACCTATGCAGATTGATGTGTGAGTGGTATATGTTTGAAGAATGAGTTCAGAATAGGGTAAAAAGTGACAAATACTAGGTGAAAGAATCAGGCTACTAAGTTTAATTCTAGAAGACTGAAGGTTTCACTGTCAACTGATGAGACTGTCTTTTTTTTTTAGCCTTGCCTGTTAAAAGTTTGTGCCATTTCAGCATATACAACCAGTATCTAGGTGGCACTCTCGTGTCTGTGTTAATTCTCTGTTTTATTTAATTGTGAAATTCTGTCAAATAAAAACATATGTAACTTAGATATAATAAAGCCTCATAAATAGGCAGTTAAGAATTTGTAATTTCCCACTGTTATCAGAAATGTAACAGTGTTGTATATGTAAATGTATTAGTAAGGATTCTGAGTTTTAATAGACTATTATACAAAAACCACAAATAAACATTTTAGTAAGAAACTTTTATATTGTTATTTTTCTTACGTTATGAATAGAGTATGCAAACACAGAAACTGAAATTTCTTCATGCCTGTAGTTGGTGGTGTCTTCTCTTTATATTAGAAAGCTGGTTCATCGGTTAATTAGACTCATAAACTGTTTCAGTAAAAGTGTCTTATGTGACTACTCCAGTAGTGTTTCCCTCTTGTCATAGTGGTGTGCCACTTGATTAGAAAAGAATTTGAGTGATAGTAAAGGATGGAGGTTAATCCATGATGTTCATTCTCTTACTACACCTCCAGTAGTATATCTTCAGGGTCTTTTGGGGTGTGCAGCAGAGTAAACTTGTAAGTATTGCTACATGAAACAAGTAAATGAACTAGGAATACATGTAGATTTAAGATAAGACATTTTATTAGCCCTATCATGTTTGACTCCAAAATCTGGCTGTGAGATTTCTTGAACAGGATACTTTGTTTTAGGATTTAACGATTTATCTTAGAAATAATTATGCTCTGTTGTTGTTATCCACAATCAGAATCCCTTCCAAAAATGCAAAACCATAAATCATAATTGCTATATGGTTTTGTAAAGAACTCTGGTAGTGTAGTGATTACGAATTCGGCTGCTAACCTCAGGACCAGCAGTTTGAAACGACCAGCAGTTCTGCAGGAGAAAGATGAGGCTTTCTGCTCCTGTAAAGATTTACAGCCTTGGAAACCCTGTATAGAGTCACTATGAGTCGGGACCGACTCCACGCCACATAACCACTATCCACCACCACATGGTTTTTGATTGAATTTTTAATAACCTGTCTATATATTTGCTCTTTATTAATGTTTTTATTATAATATTTTACTCTAGGACACTATTTAAATTTTGCTTAAGAATTGTAATGGGTAATTATTTAGGGTTACTGATTTCATGCATTCATGTTTTGTTTTTTTAATGAAGTAGAACAGTTGCATGAACTAAAACTGTAACAGATCTTTTTAGCTCTGCACTGAATTATCCTGAGTACTCTTAAATATTCATAAATGTAATTTAGTAATTTTTTTTTTTTTTTTGCAGACTAATCTTGTAGCCTCTGGTGCTAATGAGTCTGAAATCTATATTTGGGATCTAAACAATTTTTCAACTCCAATGACACCGGGAGCCAAAACACAGGTAATTCATTGATTTTGGTTAAGAAATCTAAAGAAAAACTAACCCAAAGTGATTCTTCTGAACCTACTTATTTTAGTTTTCACGTAAAGTATATATTTAATATTGTTGTTCAGATGCCATTGATTTTCCTTCTGAATAGTAAAATATTAAGGCGTCCTGATGGCAAAGCGGGATGGGCGTTGGACTATTAATGGCAAAGTCAGCAGTTCAAATCTACCAGCTGCTCCAGAGAGAAAGATGAGGCTGTCCTTATAAAGATTTACAGTTTGGAAATCCTACATAGGGTCACTATGAGTTAGAATTAACTTAATGGCTGCGAATGTAGTAAACCATTGTCAAAAGCAAATATTTATTCAGTGCTTGCCACTCTTACCAGACACAGAATGTACTAGGTCAACAGAAATGAAAAAATCATTAATAACTTTAGACACATTTTTGTACTCTGTGTGATGTTGTTGTATGTGCCGTCGAGTCGATTCCGACCCATAGTTACCCTGTATAGGGTAGGGTTTCCAAATAGCAACTGGTGAGCTTGAACTGCCGACCTTGCAGTTCAAAAGCTTTGCAGTCTGGTGCATTAACCCATAGCGCCACACCAGCACTCTATTCTGTGTGATAGTTACTCTTTATTTAAGTCATGTTTAACCATTGAATAAAAATATAAATTGAGAAAAAAACTTTTTGTAAAACAAAATACTTCCATCCCCTGTTCTGTGTATTCTGAATGTATAGATTGAGGAAGAGCAATCCTCACCTTACTCCTTGAGTATCTCTGTATTATATTGCTACACAATTTGAGTAGTATCAAACTAGTCCCTAACAGTTTGGCAGTTTGAGGAGTTGCGTAATGATAGTATATGTTCTGCCATTCATGAAAGTAAGTTTCTAATGTTCCAGGTCTAGTTGTCCATCATATCAACCATCTACTTTGTGACATGTGATCTACCCATGCCAGTTGCAAAGTAAATAGTGCTTGATGTATGTATAGTAGCTCAGTAAATGCTTGTTGAGTAGGACAATATTAAATAAGATAAAATATTTGAAGTGCTACTTTAAACTGAATTGTGCATTTTGAGAACTTGGGAATATAAAGCAAATTTGAGGAGTGAACTATCAGATCCAAGTCATCCATATTTAAAAATAAAATAAAATTTTGATTAATATAGAGAAATAATAGTTTATTCCTTATAGCCCCCAGAAGATATCAGCTGCATTGCATGGAACAGACAGGTTCAGCATATTTTAGCATCTGCAAACCCTAGTGGCCGAGCTACTGTGTGGGATCTTAGGAAAAATGAACCTGTCATCAAAGTCAGTGAACACAGTAACAGAGTAAGTATATGACTGATTTGTGACAAATATATGTTTACTATATTGTTTGATAGTTGGCACTGAAGTTTCTGTAATAAACACCAAATTCTGTTTTCTTATTGAATGTCATACTGAAATGAAGTCTTTTCCCCTTGGAGAAAATAAGAAAGTTATGTATATCCATGTTGGATATTACTATGATGAAGATAAAGATTAAAGTCCTGATCTTTTTGCTTTGTTAGCTATTTCAGGCATTGCATCAACTTTTCAGTTCATCCTTAGCTTTTCCTAGAATGTAGAAATGTCATGCTAAGAATTTTATGTTCATTTTTCTGAATTTGGTAGTTTCCAAATTCCTGGTTGTATCTCTTCCTGAAGTTTTGTTACTTTCTAGTGTGTGTTACTGTATGCCATTAAATTCTGGAAGTTAATATTCTATCATATGTGCCAAAATACCTTGGGTACAACTCTGGTGGTATAGTGGGTTAGACATTGGGCTGCTAACCACAAGGTCGGTAGTTCAAACCCACCAGCCACTCTGCTAGAGAAAATCGACACAGTCTGCTTCTGTAAAGATTTACAGTGTCAGAAACTCTGGGGAGCAGTTTTACTCTGTCCTCTAGGGCTGGTATGAGTTGGAATTGACTCAGTTGGAATTGACTCAGGGTTTGGTTTTAGGTTTGCTTACTTTCTTCACTGCATTGACTAGTTTGACATCCTCCAAAATGAGTTAGCCTAAATCAGAGAATGCATATATAAATTTTAAAATGGCGACAACAAAAACTAGAAGCGTATTTCTTCAGAGTGTTGTTTTTCAAATTAATAGGAGTTTTAACACCAAAACATTTCAGTGGAACAAAGTTTTCAGTAAGCTATCCATCATCTGAAACATTTAATAGGATTTAAACTTTCAGACATTTCTTAACAATAATGTAATTCCTTCCAGGTGAAAATTTAAGTGGTACTTTTTGCTTTAGATATTTTGCCTTGATTTTCCTGATAGAGAAAAGGGTTTTTTGTTGTTGTGTTTGTTTCTATTTTTAAAATAGAAGTATTTTCTTTTTATTTTTTTCTGAAAGTATTGCATTTTAGATTTATGTAAATTTAAGTTTTATGATGTTTTTGTGTAAACCTTTTCCCTGGTTATAATTTTTACAATAAAATTCATTTTGGTATAGAATTATTCTGGACCAGAATGGTTTTATCTGCTGTTTTATCAACTATTTTATCAAATAGCTGGAAGCACTGATGGTACTCAAACCTTTTAATTTTAAAGACTTCAGTTATGTCTTAAAAGTTTCATTGTTTTAATGAACTACACGTTTTGACTGTTTGTGGCAATGAAGGTATTTTCTTGGCTTTTCATAATGTAATATTATTAATAAAATGTGGGCCTTAAACTGTCTGCAGATGCATTGCTCTGGATTGGCATGGCATCCTGATGTTGCTACCCAGATGGTCCTTGCCTCTGAGGATGATAGATTACCTGTGATCCAGGTGTGGGATCTTCGATTTGCCTCCTCTCCACTTCGTGTCCTTGAAAACCATGCCAGGTATCATACATCTCTTCCAAGGAACTTTATTTTTTTAAAGTGCATTTACTTATTACTTTGAATTACCAGATAGGCTTTTACTTATTTATTGTTTTCGTTTTCAGTTTTAGGAAATTTGGTTTGTCTCTATCATTCAAAAGTTATGATAAATTGTTTGTTTTATAATATTATATTTTATTTTAAGCAATTGGCATCTGCTTTTCTATACCAAAAATTTGTAGCCAGATCCTATTATAACAGCATGAAAATGTGTTCAAAGAATTTTCAATGAATGGTTTAAAAAATAAAAATTTCAGTTGATTATAGTGCTTTGCACCAGCCATTGACATTTTTTATGTTGTTGTTGTTAGTTACCCATGAGGTTTCCCATGTGTATATATGGAGTAAAACTAACTACTCCATAGGGTCTTTAAGGGCATGACCATTTGGAAGCTGATAAGCCTGGCTTTTAGGTGGATTTGAATCATTAACCTTTCACTTAGTAGGTCAGTGCTTAACCATTTGCATCGCCCAGAGGCTCCTAAGTTTTTGCTGTGTTTGAGAAGTACCCTAACTCTATTGTAGTTTCTAGTTTTGTTTTTTTTTTTTCATAGTGTAGTAGTAATGTTAACTTTATTTTTTTTCTTTTATTTGTTCTTAATAAAAAGATAAACAGAAAAGCCAACGTGTTAATAGAGATTTTCTCTGGATGGTGAGATACAGGAGACTATTTTTTTGTTTGGGTGTTTTTTTGTTTGGTAATACTAGTTTTCAGAGTCTTACAAATTATAATATTGAGAGTTAAAAACATCAGGTTGTTGGTATTTAGATTTGTAATACTTCTTTGTAAGGCAAATTTTAAATTTTCTTTTCATTAAAAAAAAGAACTGCTTATGAAAGAAGTATTTCTCTGATAATAAAGGTAATAAAAGCCAAAATATGTAAACAAAAAGAAAAACTTGAAATAGTCACATTTCTTTACGCATTCATGTTGTTAAGTATGATCAAGTCAGTTCTAACTCACAGTGACCCTGTATAGGTTTTCCAAGGAACAGCTGATGAATTTGAACCACCAACCTTTCTGTGCAAACTGATCTTAAAAACATTTTATTATGTATGTTAAATTTATTTATATGTATATATAAAGCTCCAGTTGTTTAAAGAATTAAGGTAACTTATATAACATATATCACGTTATATAAGTTATTTCGCATATGCATGCAAAAGCTGGACAGTGAATAAGGAAGACCGTACAAAGATTGATGCTTTTGAGTTATGCTGTTGGAGGATTATATTGAAAGTGCCGTGGGCTGCCAAAAGAACCAATAAGATCCATTTTGGAAGAAGTGCAGCCAGAATGCTCCTTGGAGGCCAAGATGGCCAAACTTCGTCTCTCATACTTTAGACATATTGTCAGTAGGGACCAGTCGCTGGAGAAGGATATCATGTTTGATAAGGTTGAGGGTCAGAGAAAAAGAGGAAGACCCCCAACGAGATGGATTGGCCAAGTGGCCGCATCGATGACTCAAGCGTGGCAGCAGTAGTGAGGTTGGCCCAGGACTGGGCAGTGTTTGGTTTTGCTGTGCATAGGTCGCTATGAGTCGGTACTGACTAGATAATACCTAACAACAACAACAACAACGTATAACATGACACTGTATCTTTGTACTCTGTATATAAGTATATAATTAATTAATATAGTTTTTCTTTTTATTAATTGTGAACACCATGGTAGTAAGAAAGAAATTTCTACAATTTTTACATTACCATTTTTAATGTTCTAAGTATATTTCCATCAAAGTTTGAGCTGTAATAATGTACTATTTCACAGTCCCTGTTATTATTTTTTTTTTAAGTTTTTATTGTGAATTATGTGGGTTTACATGGGAGAATATCAGTTTTACATTCATCCTATCATATTTCGTTTAATTGCAAAGATTACAGTTCCCTCCATGCATCATCAAATAACCAAAGGGTACACCCCACAGCCCCCACCCCTGCCCCGGCTTTCAGCACACAGCCCCTTTCCCTCCCTGAGTCCCGTGATACTCCAGCCACTCCATCTGTCCACGTCATCATCTCTGTCTCCATGCCTGGCATCACTGCCTCTCGGTACGGTCATGCTCTCGGTACGGTCATGCTCTCCGCTCTTCTCAGTTGATGGTCTTAGGGACCTCCGCTCCTGGGCTGCAAAGTCAGTCACTCCCCTCCTTTTGTCAAAAACATCTACCTCTACATTTCCGACCCTCACAGTCAGTTGTTATTAAACATTTACTTTGTTTTCAGTTTTGCTATCATACACTCTTCACTATAGTGCATGTCCTACATCCTTGCATATAACTTATTGAATTGTCTCCAGAAAGATTGCATTCTGAAAAGTCTGTTGTTAAGTGCTTTGGAGTCAGTTCCGAGGCTTTAAATCTTTGTAGGAGCAAAAAAAATCTCATCTTTCTTCTGAGAAGCAGGTGGCAGGCTCCAACTGCAGACTTTGTGATTCAAAGTTCAGTGCTTACCGTATGGAGCCACAGTGCTCCCCTTTAGAGAGAAATCATTTAAAATTTGCTGTTCTCAAGATTAAAAGTTTCTTTTTCCCTTTTTGTTGGTGTAGGGGGATTTTGGCAGTTGCCTGGAGCATGGCAGATCCTGAATTGTTGCTGAGCTGTGGAAAAGATGCTAAAATTCTCTGCTCCAACCCAAACACAGGAGAGGTATAGGAAGAAATGTTTGTAAACCCTATAGTCATTGCAATGTTTTATTTCTAGTTAAATAAAATTCCACATGGATTTTTAAGTTCCTTCTATAACTGAGGACATGTGAAGATGAAGTGCTTGTAAAATGCTTTCCTAGTAGAAACATCTACCTCAGTTGTTTCTACCAGAAAGTTGTTATTAAATATTATATTTGAATCTAGTAATTGGCTTACGTCTTTAATAAAATGAATTTACCTTGATTCAATTTGGTTTATTTCACATGTAATACTTACTTTATAGTAGAGTGCTCATCATACATCCTGCCCAAAGGAATCCTGCCTTTTAAATATGAATATATAAATACAATTTTGTTTGCTCTGGATCATATGCTAAAAATTTCCATTAGCATTAACTTTTATTATTCTTTATAATATCGACTGGTTTCCCTTCCTTTCAATATTGGGCAAGATACTGTAGACTTTAATTATAGCTTTAACACATGACTTTTACCTTTCTAAACTTATGTATGTTATTGCAAGTGCTAAGGTGCCCTGGTGGCACCCTTGACTGACTGATAACTGAAAGGTCAGCAATTTGAATGCATCAGTCACTCTGCAAGAGAAAGATGTGGCTGTCCACTTCCATAAAGATTACAACCTTGGAGTAATTGTACTGTTTCTCCAGCATGAGTTTGGTATTGCAAGTATTTGCAATAGTAGCTTTTTTAACTACCGTACTGAAATTCAGTAGATTTTAAAAAATGTAGCGTAGTGGTTACGAATTGGGCTGCGAACCTTAAGGTCAGCGGTTGGAAACTACCAGTCGCTCTGGGGGAGAAAGATGAGGCTTTCTAGTCTCGTAAAGATTTACACCCTCAGAAACCCTGTACAGGGTTGCTGTGGGTCGGAACTGACTCGACAGCACTTAACAACAACAACAATAACATTCTGATAGGGTAAAATGAAGCACTTTAGTTATTTGGATTCTGGTGTTAAAATTTCACCTAGTAGTGTCAGTTAATATAGAAACATTAGAGTTGGGGAATATAAAATATTTTGTTTTCGTATGATTTATAAATAATAAAACATTGTATTTTACAATCCATCTTACCAAGTAAGTTCAGAATTCATGCAAATTACTGTCATAATTATGTAATTTGATAAAATGAATTTTTGCATGTGATTAGTGTGTTCTTGGAGTCCTGGTGTGGCACTGCAGGATAATGTACTGGACTGCAAGGTTGGCTTGAGTTGCAAGATTGGCAGTTCAAACTTACTAGCCATTCCTTGGAAACCCTATACAGGGTTGGTAAGAGTCGAAACTGACTTGATTACACTTAACAACAACCACCACAGTGTGTTCTTGGACTTTGAAGGAATAAATGAAATAAATTTTAGTGTGAACTGAACCTAAAATGCATTAGTAAATTTTGTATTCAAAGGCAAAGCAGTATCATCAAAGTGAGAGTGATTAGTCTTACCAGAGTTACTTTTTCACATAATTCGGTTTTCTGATAAAACACACAGTAAATGCCACTTGAAATCCAAGTAGTTCATTTAACTTATTTCATAAAATCACAAAACCTTAAGCTCTTTTTAGGAAATTATCAGTATGGTTTGAGTTAGAAACTATAAAGATTATATACCAGCCTTTCTTTTCCTTATAAAGAAGAATGGTTATGATTCTTTCTTATAATTGCAGCAATAGAAAATGGTGTGCCCACGTTTTCTTTCTTGACTAAAGGCCAGATTTCCTGTGACTTCGCTCAAGAGTTTTAAAACTTCAGTTTCAGATAAGAGCTCTAAATAAGGTTGTTTGAGTCTTGGCAGGCAATATACAGTTGGACAGAATACCATTGATCTTTTGAAGCTTAGCAGGTTGACTCAGTTTTCTGCTTTTTCAGATGCAACTTCTAATATCATAAGAAAAGAAAAACGTCAGATTTTACAATGTCCTCGTTTAAAATGTAGTTCATTTTTTTTAAAGTAGCAGACCATCGTAATGGCCTATTTTCAAATCACAGTATTGTTTTTCCTGGCTAGACATATTTTCTGAAAGAAAATATCTAATTTAGCTAGTTGATCATATTAATGTAGTTATTTGGTTATAATGTAAAGTGACTGTACCCTTTTCTGACTTTTTTTTTTCCCCTTAGGTGTTGTATGAACTTCCCACCAATACACAGTGGTGCTTTGATATTCAATGGTGTCCCCGGAACCCTGCTGTCTTATCAGCTGCTTCCTTTGATGGGCGTATCAGTGTTTATTCCATCATGGGAGGAAGCACTGATGGCTTAAGGCAGAAACAAGTGGATAAGGTACTAGGAAAAGTTACGGTTTTGATTATAACACATCTAAAAATTAATTATAATGTGTGATTAATCTGAAAGTTAGGAATCCATTGTGATGCTTAATTGAATAATTACCTTAAAATATTTTGAATATAACTAGAAAACAGTGCAACATAGTCTTATATAAGTTATAGATGCTCATGTTATTTATTTTTTTTTTAAGCTTTCCTCATCTTTTGGAAATCTGGATCCCTTTGGCACAGGACAACCCCTTCCTCCATTACAAATTCCACAGCAGACTGCCCAGCATCATATAGTGCTGCCTCTGAAGAAGCCACCCAAGTGGATCCGAAGGCCTGTTGGTGCTTCCTTTTCTGTAAGTGGATTTTGTTTTATGGTCTGTGGGCACAGGGGCAAAGAGAACTTATCATTGTATTATTACAGGATCACTCAAATAGAAAAAGTCTTTTGTTTGAGAGATCTTTGTGTGTTGTTTTCAGAGTATTTTCTTAGAAAAAGTAGAACTTACTCTCTCTCTCCTGCCCCCCTTTTTAATTTGGCTTCTTTTTTTTTTTTTTTTTTTTTGATCTGCTGGTCTTTCTTTCAATCAGCTTTTTATTATGAAATATTTTAAACCTGTCTTAAAATAAAAGTAATGTTAAATAATGAATGCACATATATCCAGCTTCAGAATTTACCATCATTTTCTCTTAGCACCTTTCTATCATACCCCACTCAGCCTTCATAGGATAATAAATACATATATGAGGGGGCTTCAAAAAGTTTGTGGTAAAATAGAATTAAAAGATAATAGGATTTTTCCACAAACCTTTGAAATCCCTTTGTATATATATCTTTATTATACCTTTTTTTTTCTCCTAAAAGTTGTTTTATTGTTGTGAAACCTTTGCTTTTCTGTTATATGTCTTTTAAAGTTATAGTTATTTTTAGCATAAGCACAACACTGTTATTATATGGAATAAAATTACTAATAATTTCTTAATATCTAATACCTAATTCATGTATTTAATGATCACAAAAAGATGTCTTTTTTGTGTGTAGTGGATATTCCTGTTTTAACCTATGGTATTTCCTTCTCCTTCTTTCATCCTCATGATATATGTATTTTAAAAACATTCAGTTAAGTAGGTTTTCCTGCATACTGGAGTTGGCTGATTGTGCCTTTGTGATATTGTTTGACTTGTTTTTCTGTATCTGATAGTTTTTCTAGAATGTTTCTGTGCTGCCCCCTATTTCTTACATTCTGATAGAGCTAAAGGTTTCATCAGATTCATTAGAAGGAAGACACATTCAGAATCGGGGGAAAGTGAGCATCTTTGCCAGTTTAGCAGTGATCCTCAAGCTGTCACCTAAGAAATTCTGGTCAACTTTTGGACTATGTGAAAAAAGTAGAGTCTTTTGCTAAATATTGTTAGTTCACTACTATTTTAAAAACTCTTGTGTAGAACAGGCCAGCTTTGTATCACTTTCCCCCTACAACTTATGTTGTTGTTCAGTGCTGTTGAGATGGTTCCAACTCATAGTGATCCTGGATAGGGTTTCCCAGGGGCAGCTGGGGGGTTCAAACTGCTGACCTTGTAGTCCATTGCTTACCTTATAGCACCACACCAGGGCCTATGTTGTTGTTAAGTGTTTTGAGTCTGTTAGGACTCTTGACAACCCTGTATAGGATTCCCGAGGTGCAGTTGGTGGGTTTGAACCACTGACCTTTTGGTTAGCAGTCCAGTGCTTATTTTGCAGCTCTACACCAGGAGTCCACTAGGACCTATTAATAACTTGTTACATGCTGTCAAGTAATTTCTGACTCTTAGCTACCCCATACACTATAGAATGAAACACTGCCCAGTCCTGCACCATCCTCACAATCATTGCTATGCTTGAGTGAGTCTATTACTGCTGCCACCTTGCCAGTCCATCTCATTAGGGGTCTTTGTTTTTTTTCTGACCTCCAAGCATGATGTCCTTCTGTAGGGCTTTATGCCTCCTGATAGTATATCAGAAATATGAAGGATGAAGTCTTGCCGTCCTGAATTCTAGGAGCATTCTGGCTGTACTTCCATCAACACAAATTTGTTTGCTTTTCTGGCAGTCCATGATACTTTTAATATTCTTGTTCAACTCAAATGCATCAGTTCTACTATGGTCGGTCTTGTTCATTATCCAACTTCCACATGCATATGAGGTGATTGAAAATATCATTGGGGTCAGGCACACCTTAGTCCTCAAACTAACATCTTTGCTCTTTAACACTTTCAAGAGGTCTTTTGCAGTGGATTTGCTTTTACATTCCTAATACCTAATTTAGTATACAGTTTAATTTCATCCCTGTATTAGTAACTGTAATCTTGGTGTGACACTGTGGGTTAATGCGCTGGACTGTTAAAGCGTTTCCAGCTCGCCAACTGTTCTTTAGACATTCTATACAGGGTCACTATGAGCTGGAACCAACTCAACAGCACTTAACAGCAATAATTAGGTAACCAACACAGGCAGGTCTAGATAATGTAGGGCTTTATTTGAAAGAGCAGGCAGCTTGTCTACATGGAGTATTAAAGCTCTCTGTGCAGGAAGACAGACACAGAAAGCAGCTCCAAAGCATACTTTAAGCATGTACCATTTCCCCCCTGAAAATCCACTCCCAGGAGAGTGGGAGGGACAGAGAGGTTCCGAACGTGTTCTTTCTCTGTACGGCCCTCCTGTAGAGAGTGAAATGAACACTTCCTCTTTTATGTGCCATGTGAATTCCTCCAGTATTTTTGTGTTACCATTATTAAAGTTTAGAGGTTTGTATAGTTTTCTGATTACTTTTATAAATGTAAATAATTACTTAAATATTTAAGTCTTGATATATAAATTTTATATTGTATAAATTAAAACTTTTATCCTTTTCAATTTTTGTATGTTACATTATTATTTTTACATTGTTAAGTTCTTTAAGGAGTCCTGGTATGGCATTGTAGAATAAGCACTGGACCACTACCCGCAAGCTTACTGGTTCAAACCCACCTGCTGGTCCTCAGAAACCCTATACAGGGTTTCTATGAGTCAAAACTCATTCAGTGGCACTTAAACAGTAATGACAATTTTTTTTGGTAAATAATAATTCAGTTTTGTTTGGGCTGGTTTTAAAAAAGTAATGACTAACCAACTGCATTCACATTACTGTAATTAATTACTTAATATTCATTATGTTATTAAATGCTGTTAAGTCGGTTCTGACTTATAGTGACCCTGTATAGGGTTTCCAAGGAGTGGCTGGTGGGTTTGAACCACCGACCTTGTTGTTCAAACTGACCTTGTGACTCAATGCTTATCCTATAGTGCCACACTAAGATTACTTATTTTGTGAAACCCACAGTCTTTGTATAAAACATCACTAAGAATGAAAAACCAAATTTGATTTTGTATGTTTTTCTTCCTCTAATTTTATTTCGTATGAATATATTTGTTGTTGTTAAGTGCTGTCAAGTCAGTTCTGACTCATAGCTGCCTGGTTTTTAAGGAGTGGCTGGTGAGCTTGAATTGCCGACCTTGCAGTTCAAACTGACCATGTAGTCCAGCACATTAACCTGCAATGCCATACCAAGACTCCATGAATATATTGTTAAGTGCCATTGAGTCAGTTGTGACCCACAGTAACCCTGCATAGAGTTTTCAGAACAACTGGTGAGCTTGCATTGCCTACCTAGCAGTTCAAACTGACGTTACAGTCCAGTGCATTAACCTGTAGCACTACTCCAGGACTCTATGAATATATTAGAAAATATTGTCTACTTGTTGTGTCCAAAGTAGTGTCCTAGGTATTATAAAAGATATAAGAATAAAACAGACACAGGTTCTGCCCTGAAATAACTCAGATGAGAAAGCTTTTTGTTTAATCATAAGATATATCATATGTTAAATGCATCTGCAAGACCTTCATTGGTAGGTGAAATTTGCTGGGCCTTGGAAGATAAGTAGTATTGAGTATGTTGTTGTTGTTGTTGTTAAGTGCTGTAGAATCAGTTACAACTTATAGTGACCCTGGATAGGGTTTCCACTGAGGGATTAATGAGCTTGAACTGCCCACCTTGCGCTTCAAACCGACTTTGCAGTCCAGTGCATTAACCCACAGTGCCACAATCAAGTAGGTGAAAAATTAGGGGGAGGGTACAGTAAATAGTATATTTATCTAGAAGATGGGCTGTATGGAAAAGAAGAGAAAAATGGAAGGTTGAGACACAAGTGGGATTTTATAAAATGTAATTTTAAAAGTCTAGCTAATTTTACTCAGATCTCTATGTTTTGGCTATAATATTTTTGCCACAACCTTTTTGTTCAAATCAGTCTTGCGCATTTGTTCTTTTTGCAGTTTGGAGGCAAACTGGTTACCTTTGAGAATGTCAAAATGCTGTCTCAGCAAGGAGCTGAACAGCAGCAGCAGCCCCACCATGTGTTCATTAGCCAAGTCGTAACTGAGAAGGAATTTCTCAGCCGGTCTGACCAACTTCAGCAGGTCGTGCAGTCACAAGGATTTGTTCATTATTGTCAGAAAAAAATTGAAGCTTCTCAGACGGAGTTTGAGAAAAATGTTTGGTCCTTTTTGAAGGTAAGTTGATAGACTTCATTATCTGCAAATTTAAGTATTTACACTATATTCTGAAACAGTCTTCTGATTACAGTAACAAATGGAAGAGTGTGATTACAGGAACTTGTTTGAAATTTAAGAAACATCACAAATAGTATATTGCTTAGCTTTTTATGTCAAGAGTTCTTCTAGTCTCTGCTATGAAACATCTAACAATGTAATAGATATATTTAGGTGATAGATATTATGAGTCAGTGGACCTATTTTAAAATTAGAACATAGAATATTTAATTTCTATAGTGAATTCAGTTAAAGAAAGTGAGAAAATAGGGAAGAGGCATCATAGAGTAGAAAGGGTGGAAGTATTTCTTGCCTATGAGAAGAGAGAAGAAGAAAACTATCTTTTGCTGAGTTGCATTTATGATAATAGAATAACAAAGAATTTTCTAGTTGGTTATTTTGCTTCCACTGTACTATTTTCTATACTAAATATTCCAAAGAAAAGAGATCTTTATAGGCTTAAAATCTAAAATTAGGGAATTTATACTTTATAACTAAGTATTAATTTGGGGAAAGGTTTTGGGATATTAGATATTTGACAAAATGAAAATATTGCCTTCATATGATCTTTGGAAATGTGTTAGTTTGTATTTATAAAAGTTATAGTTCAAAAATTAGCTTTATTCAACCAGAAATTTATTACATGTTTAATAATTTATTTTAATATATTGATAAAGAAATTTAAAGTAATTAAGTTATTTAAGCAAAAAAATATTCTTTGGGTTGCTAAGCGATAGTAAAAATTGGGACTTTAAATGCATATTGTTGATTTTCAAGATTATTATCTTTTTTTAAAAGGTAAATTTTGAGGATGATTCTCGTGGAAAATACCTTGAACTTCTAGGATACAGAAAAGAAGACCTAGGAACAAAGGTAAACCTTCAGAGGTGAAATGCCTGTGCTTAAACAAATACAATGTTTGTGTAGCAAGCATATGAAAAATAAAATTTTACCCGGATCATCTTGTCAATCAGTAAACATTTAGTAAAAATGTTAATAAAAGTTAAATATTAATGAAAATGTTTGCTTGGTTGTCAAAGTTTTGAATACATATTGTTAACTATGAAAGTCCACCTTATACTTCAGTTGAAACCTACTAGTTGTTGTTTTGTTAGTTGCTATGGAGTTGATTCCTACTCATGGCACCTTATGTATGCAGAGTACAACTGCTCTGTGGGATTTTCAAGGCTGTGACTTTTGGGAAGCAAACCTCCAGGCCTGTCTTCTAAGAATTACCAGCCTTTCAGCTAGTAGTTGAGTGCTTAACTGACCAGAAACACCCATAATTCATGTTTGATTTAAGAATTAATCTCAGGGAGAATTGAACCTTGAAAGATAGACACTATAAGCCTCAACCCCTGAAAATAACACTTTTAATAAGATTTTACTATGGTTATGGACCTATTGTCCCTTGGGGGAATGAGAGGGAAACTGTTTACAAAAACTTAAGAGATGAAAAATTGTGTACTGTTTCAGGCCATCACAGTTTTTCATTCTGTCCATGTTTATGCCTTTAGTCTACAGTTCCCAAACTGTGTATTGAGGGGCTATGGAGTGCCACAGGAATTTGCAGGGGCACAGATTTTTAAAGTAGAGTTGCTAATAAAGAGAACTATTTTAGGCTTTCTTTTGGCCTAAGAACACTGAAAAACTTCCTAAGTTATTAAGGGCGCTGTGGAGTCTCTTGAGTAGTGCAGATAGTTCGCATGTTGGACTGCTAACCAACAGATTGAAGTTCAGATCTACTCAGAAGCACCTCAGATGCTTTGTGATCTACTTTGAAAAAACTCAGTCACTGAAAAAACTTAGGAAGCATAGTTCTACTCTGACAAATACGGGGTGTCACGAAGAATAGGAGCCAACTTGATGGCCCCTGGTTTTTAAAGGCATCCTGAAAGTTGGCCTACATCTGTTTTATGTGGTTCTTGAAAATGTTAAAACAGGCGTTGAGGTTGGGAGTTTCTTTTAAAGAGATACAGGTGGTGGTTAGAGAGCATCTGAAGATGCTTGAAGCTTGAACGGAGGGCAAGGAGGAAGGATGTAACTGAGAGAAAAGCAAAGCATAGAAAAATGTAAATGGAATTGGAACTCTTGTTCTTAGATTACTTGGTCCAGCTAACAAACTCTGTAACTAGTAGATATTTTGGAGCAGGAGTAATTTTAAAAAGAGAAATAACCTTATTTTATAGTTTTCTCCTTTTAAGGAGATTATATTATTGTTAGTTCACATCTGCATCAACAACAGGAATAAAGAAACTCTGACTTTAGAAAACTTTGGAAGGAAGTAGTTAATGTTTTTTAAAAATTATTGTTTTAGCTCATCCTCAGTCTTTGAACATGACTAAAGTTTTCTATCATATTACAGAGTTGTATACATGGTACAAAGTCCTGGTGTGGCCCTATAGGATAATCACTGGTCAGTGATTCAGATTCACCAGCCGCTCCTTGAAAACCTTATCCAAGGTTACTTTGAGTCAGAACTGACTCTACAGCACTTAACAACAACTACAACAACATACATGGTACAGGTTGGATACTGCGCACTCTAAGCTGTGCCATGCATATTGAAGATTAGTGCCCCTTTGAAGTCAAACAAACCTAGGGTAACATCACAGCCCCTCTGTTCCCTGGGTATTTGTACTTGCTCCTTTGGAGTTTTTACATTGAACTTTATTAGTCTAAATTTGATGCTATAACTTTTTTAAATTTACAAGATATTAATATGAAAGTTTTAACTCATGCCTGATAACAAAAATGAGGAAATAGAATATGATTATTGAAATGCATATAATAGTTTACAGGAGGCTTGGTGACACAATGTGTTCAACATTTGAACTGCTAATGGAAAGGTTGGTGGTTGGAACCCACCAGCCACCCTGTAATAGAAAGATGTGGCAGTCTTCTTCCATGAAGATTTACAATCTCAGGGGCCCTATGGAGTGGTTCTGCTCTTTATAGAGTTGCTACGAGTCAGAATCGGCTCAACAGCAGGGTTGTTTTTAATACAAGTTTTTCTGAGTACATGAAGAAATATTTTTGAAAATTAGCTATAGTTAATTTATTTAAAACAAAGTAGAAGAAAATGTGCTTGTTTTCTGGTTAGTTTTGTGATTAAACAGGAGAGGTGTATAATATCTGAGCAGTAAAACTCCATGCGAACTAAGCTGGAAGTATTGAGGACTAGTTCTGAACATATTCTTTTCTTAAAGTCATCAGAGCTTTTGTGATAGTTTGTCAGCAAGAATAGATTAAGAGTGGTGAACATTTTTTGTATGCCCTGAAATAGAATTCCATTTAATAGGTGAGTTGTTATCTTTATTTCAGATTGCTTTGGCCTTGAACAAAATGGATGGACCTGACGTGGTAAGAAGGCCTTTAACTATATCTACATTCTAAAATTTGGATTTAGGTCCTAACAAATAAGGAAAGAATAAAGAAATAGGAGATGTGTCTATTTTGTTGTCTCACAGTATAAAGGTAAATGCTTCTAAGTTAACCTCATTTAAAAATAGCATAAGTTTAGTTGGAAGAACCTGTTTCTTGAAGTATTTTTTCACACACAAAAAATAAACAAAACAAATGTTTGTTCAGATATGAGGAGGCTGCAGAAAGTTCATGGAAGAGTGGAATTTTCACAAACTTTTGAAGCCCCCTTGTGCTTAAGTAGAGTGTTGAGAGATATTTGGTAGGAAAGAAAGGGAAGGAGTTAACAATACTGCTCTTTGGTTTTCCTCTAGTGGTGTTTCCCAAATGAAGCTACTCAATACTGCTACTTATGATTAAACTAGCTCTGAGTGTTGTTGGTTGGGTCTTTTGTCTTTCTTGTTTACTAATAAACTTTTAATGCTATATTCTTCAACTTCCTCTGTGATTGTTTTGTGTACCAAAGGCTCTTAAAGACTCTGACCAAGTAGCACAGAGTGATGGGGAGGAGAGTCCTGCTGCTGAAGAGCAGCTCTTGGGAGAGGTATTTATTTATTTACTTATTTTTCACTTTTAATTATTAGACAAATACATGACATTTCTGTATCTCAAAATTGCTTGACATTGAAATATGGAAAATTATTTTGATTCCTTATTCTAGAATACAGTTTGATTATATTACTTTCTTAGAGGTGTCTAGGGAAGGAATTTATGTACCTAAACTGACAGAAGTATCTATCATCTCTGAACCAATTTAGTTCTTTGACCTAGCATCTGGATACTATTTTTAAAAATTAACAGTTGAGGTGAGTTGGACTTAATTTGATAGGTAGGTATCAGGATATCAAACTGAAAAGAGGTTTTATTTGGAAAACCACATTGCATTGCATGTAAAGTTTATGTTTTTGTCTTGACGCATTCATATTTAGGACCCACTCTTAGCATAAGTTTCTGAATTTGTTTTAAACTTTTGAGTCCAAGAATACTTCAGTCAACTTCATGATTTGTTATAAATATGTCCTGAGTTCTTTTTGGCAATTTTCTAATTAAAAAGAGTCCTTGAGCACAGAATTGTGTCATTAATTTTTTCCTTTTAATTTTCTGGATTTTTAAAACTACTAATAATTACTTCTGTCATTTCCTTTTCTTGCTTTCTAATTATATTTTATCTTGGAAAAGTGATTAACAGGTTCCTCTTTCTCATCTCACTTTTGACCTTTTCATTGTTCTCTGTGGTACTGGGATATTCTGACTGTGGGATATTTCTAACAGTTTTTTACTAAGCTACAGAAAGAATTCATCAGTAAATTTAGACTATCATGTGACGATTAAAAAAATTTTTTTTCCCTTAGAAGTAGGGGTTCTAGATGTGGATACTTTTGTTCCATACTAAAAATGTTTACGATATTAGGGTCCATTAAAGAAATGTGCTTTCAAATAGAGGACCATTTGAGAATACACAATTTAGTAGGTAAGAATAATAGGTATTTCTAAAGACCATAGTCATTAATGAGTAGTTTCAGAGTACCTGAAAAAATGTCTCCCTTAATGATACGAATGGTTATCAAACATTGTTGTCGTTAAATGCCATCGAGTTGGTTCTGACTTATAGTGACCCTACTTAGGGTTTTTGAGGAGCAGCTGGTGAGTTTGAATTGCTGACCTTCTCATTCAGTCTGACCTTGTGGTCAAGTGCTTATCTTACAGTGCCACACCAGGACTCCATGCATATTTTAGAAGTCCATAAATAAAGGTTTGTTCATTGTTTTTAGAGAAAAAATTTGAAAAATGAATTAAAGTTCTTTTTTTTTGATAAATTTGTTAGTGAATATAGTCAAATCACTGTCTCTGATGTGTTTTTCTTCATGTTAATAGATTAAGATCATTAATGTTTTCTACTTGAGCTTTTAAATTCCTAAATGCTACTCTAGGGGAAATGGAAATAAGAGTTGTAGTCATTATTCTGTAATGATCAGTGCTAATTAATTAGACATTATTTACAGATAATACTTTGCTGTGCTCTGCACTAACATTCCCGAGCTCAAAAATGCCCCCGACCTTGAGTACTAAGGTTACAATCAGGTGTGAAGGTAACAAAAGCACAGAAGGTATTTTATCTCATGCAGTGGAACTAAATTATCATTTTAAAGTTTCTAATCTCTGATACATTTGTTTTTACTTTTTAATTTCTGTGTATGAAAGAGAAAACATTCAAATATATGCCATTGAAATACCTCCATTGTCTTTATTTTTAAAGAAAGAAAATGCTGCATTTATTTATTTATTCATATATGAATTTATTTTTTAATGAGTCTTGCAAATAGTCACAGAAATTTATAAGAGAACTACACATATTTGTACTACACCTTGCTGCTGTTTTAAGTATGATAATTTCAGAGAACATATGTATAATTGAATTTGAATATGTTCATAAACACTCTGTTTATGTTATTTTTATACTGAGGACATCTAGTGATTTTTGTTATGGGTGGGTCCGTTAAACAAACAAAAAATACAAAACCTTATAATGAAACCCTAGTGCCTAGGAATTTTTAGATGTGTAGAAGCAGAGTTGCTTTAAAATCTAAATACATACACTGTAATTAAAAAGTGTGTATTTTGTATATTTCAAGCCACTTGTAGTTGATGTATCTTAGAAAACAAAGATTTGTCTTCTTAACCTAACTTCTGAGCTACCAGTTGTGGACTTAATTTTTTTTCTTTACGTTTAAATTTGTCTAACATTATTATTGATGATCTTGGATTTCATTTATAATTACATAATGGTAATTAATACTCAAGGGAAATTATATAGCTTAGTGAAAACTTGGACTTGAGAATTTTTCTGGACTACCTTAGGGTGTCATTAGGTGAGTAATCATATATAGATTTGTTTCACCAGTAAATTTTTTTGTAGTTCTATTCTAGCTGGGAGTCCTGGTATGGCACTGTGGGTTAATGCGCTGGACTGCAGGGTCGGTGATTCAAGCTCCCCAGTTACTCCTTGGGAACCCTATACTGGGTTGTTATGTATTGGAACTGACTCTTAGGGCTCTTAACAACAGCAACAATATTCTAGCTAAGTTGCTATCCTTTTTATCTCTTTAGAGAATGAAAGAAGAAAAACAAGAATCTGAATTTTTATCCTCAGCTGGAGGAACATTTAATATTTCTGTTAGTGGGGGTAAGTACCTACTGCTGTTGATTCCCCTCCCTTTTTTTTAACCAGTTGAAAGCATAACAAGTAATCCATAAGTTTAAGTTCATGAAGACATTAAAATGTGTTTTGCCATTGCTGTTAGGTAGTTAATAAAGAACTCAGTTAATGTTTAGTATATATAATCAATGCCCTGAAAATGGTGGCGTGTGTTTACCACACCTATGTGTTACAAACTATTTAATCTTTATTAATTCAATTTAAGCGGTCTGGAAAATGTGTTATTGTACATGTTGTTGTTGTTAAGTGCCGTCGAGTCGGTTCCGACCCATAGCGACCCTGTACAGGATTTCCGAGGGTGTAAATCCTTACGGGAGTAGAAAGCCTCATCTTTCTCCCGCGGAGCGGCTGGTAGTTTCGAACCGCTGACCTTAAGGTTCGCAGCCCGATTCGTAACCACTACGCTACCACTATATTCTTATAGACCTCGTCTATAAATATTAACAGCTTGTGTTAGAATTTTATCCACCATTAATATTAGTCAGAAATTAGCATTGCGTTCTCTATTTTGTGTTATGTGTGTAGTTTTCTGGGTTTATTTTTGTAACACAAAACTTTAATTTAACTTGTGTGTATTATATTTCTTTATTGCAGACATTGATGGCTTAATTACTCAGGCTTTGCTGATGGGTAATTTTGAGAGTGCCGTTGACCTTTGTTTACATGATAACCGTATGGCAGATGCCATTATATTGGCCATAGCAGGTGGACAAGAACTCTTGGCTCGAACCCAGAAAAAGTACTTTGCAAAATCCCAAAGCAAAATTACCAGGGTATGTACTTTTCAAGCTAAACAAGTTTAGTTTAGTTTTAGTTTTTTTTAAAAAAACCTTTTATGGTGAATTGACTGAAGATTTACAGAGCCAGATCATCAGTGTTTTACATTCTGCAAATCATATACTTTGCTTCATTACAATGATTATAATCTCCTCCATTTACCAATGGTTATCAGTGTTTATCACTCTTCGCTTTAACTGTTGCACTCCTTTATCTCCCTCTACTGTCATCGTTCCTCTGATGACTTCCCTCTTATTGGATATTACTTGCCTGATCACCCATGTTAATTTCCTACCCTCTTGCCCATGAATAATTTTCCATTCCTTCCTCTATAACATGTTATTGTTGTTAGGTGTCATCAAGTCGGTACCGACCCATAGCGACCTTATGCACAACAGAATGAAACACTGCCTGGTCCTGGGCCAACCTCAGAGTCGTTACTACACTTGTACCCATTGATGCTGCTGCTTTGCCAGTCCATCTCACTGGGGGTCTTCATCTTTTTCTCTGACCCACCACCTTATCAAAAATGATAGCTTTCTCTAGCGGCTGGGCCCTCCTGACAATATTTCTGAAGTATGAGAGACGAAGTGTGACCATCCTGGTCTCTAAAGAGCACTCTGGCTGCACTTCTTCCAACACAGATCTATTGGTTCTTTTGGCAGCCCATGGTACTTTCAGTATTCTCCTCCAGCACCGTAACTCAAAAGCATCAATTCTTCTGTGGTCTTCCTTATTTATTGTCCAACTTTCATATGCATATGAGTTTATTGAAATTACCATGGCTTGAGTCAGGCCCACCTTAGTCCTCAAGCTGACATCTTTACTCTTCAGCACATTAAAAAGGCCTTGTGCAGCAGATTTGCCTAATGCAATACGTCTTTTGATTTCTTGACTGTTGCATCCATGAGTGTTGATGGTTGAGCTGAGAAAAATGAAGTCTTTGACAAATTCAGTCTTTTCTACATTGATAAGAATGTTTATTGGTCCAGTGGTGAGGATTTTTGTTTTCTTTACATTGATGTGCAATCCATACCGAAGGCTGTGCTCTTTGATCTTAATCAGTAAGTATTTTAAGTCCTCTTCACTTTCAGCAAGCAAGGTTGTATTATCTGCATTTCGCAGGTTATTAATGAGTCTTCCTCCAATCCTGATGCCACATTTTTCTTCATATAACTCAGCTTCTCAGATTATTTGCTCAGCATACAGGTTGTATAAGTGTGAAAGAATACAACCCTGTCTCACACCTTTCCTAATTTGAAACCATGCAGTGTTCCTTTGTTCTTTTTGAACAACAATTATAGATTATTTTATTGAGAAAACCTTTTCTCAGTTTTTTACAGTGGTCTCCTACAATGTCTGTCCTTTTGTGATTGACTAATTTCATTCAGAGTGATGTCCTCAGGTTCATCCATATTGTGAGGTGTTTCACAGATTCATCTTTATTCTTCAATATGTGCTATTTAGTTCAAAGATATGCTGTCATTGTGTGTATGTACCAAAGTTTGTGTAACCATTCTTCTGTTGATGGGCATTTAAGCTGTTTTCATCTTTTTAATATGTCTCTTGCAGATAATATATTGAAGTACCGTGTTTTCTTCTCCATTCTGTTCTCTTTGCCTCTTTACTGTTGCATTTAATCCATTTATATTCAGTGTAATTATCTACAGGTATGAATTGATTACTGTAATTTTTCTGTGTGTGTGTGTTTTGTTTTTTTTCCATAGTGCTGCTCTTCTCTTTGTTCTGTATCATTTTCTACACTGAGGTCATTTTATTTGTAGGTTTTCTTTTCATTTTCATTTCTGTTGTGTTAATATTTACTAAAGTTTTCAATTTCACTCGTTTTAAATTTTGATGTGCAGGTATATTAATTTTCTCGAGGTTACCCTATAACTAATTAATGTTTTTCTCCTATCTTGACATCTACTTGTCATCCTTGCCATTTGGAAGTTCTGTATCTACACTATTCCCTCTTTTTGCTTTGTAGATGATATAATTATACATTGATTTCTCTGATTCCCTATTTTGAGTCTCATAAGTTTGTTTTACTTTGAATACTTTTGGATTGAGTTGTGGGTTGTGTTTTCATGTATGGTAATCTCAGGCTGTTGTTGATTCTTAGTCCAAAGAAAACTCCATAGCATTTTTTGTAAAATTGGTCTGGTCATTACAAATCCCTTTAATGTCTGTTTATCAGCAAATGCTCTAATTTTGCCAGTGTATTTGAGAGACAGCTTTGCTAAGTATGTGATTCTGGGTTGGTAATTTTTTTTTCAGACTTTTGTGTATGTTATCCCATTGCCTTCTTGCCTACGCGGTTTCTGCTGAGAAATCAGGGCTTACTTAGTCTTATTGGTTCTCCTTTGCAGGTAATTTTTTGTTTATCCGAACTAGCTTTTAGTATTCTTTCCTTGTCTTTATATTTGGAAAGTTTGATTGTGATATGTCTTGGTAATTTCCTTGTGGGATTTGTCCTGTTTGGGGTTCGTTCAGCTTCTTGTATGCTTATTTTCTCATCTTTCATGATGTTAAGAAAGTTTTCTTCCAACATCTCTTCAACAGTTTTCCCTGTACTTTTTATTGTCTCTTCCTGTCCTAGAATTCTGATCAACTGAAAGTTGTTTCACTTAGTGGTGTCCCACATAACTCTTAGGATTTCTTCAGAGTTTTTCCATTCTTTTTTCTGATTGTTCTTTTAGCATACTAGAATTAAGAGATTTATCTTCAAGCTCAGTAATTTGGACTTCCATTGCTTCAAATCTCCTTCTTTGCCCATTCAGTGTATTGAAATCGTAGTGTTATTTTATGTATGAAAGTTTATGTATGTAGTGTTATGAAATCGTAGTGTTAATTTTCTGGATTTCTGATGGCAGGTTTTGTATTACTTCAAAATTTGCATTTATTTTGTCTATTTATTCTGTAGTGTTTTCCTGAATTCTAATTTTTTCAAGTTTTTTCCTGTGATCTGCTTGCTTCCTTCAGTCTTTTTGTCAGTCCTTTGAAGGTACCTAAGTAGCATTCTTTTTAGTAAGTTCCATTACCTTTTTTTCTTCAGAAACATTTTCTGGTTCTGCATCTTAGTTATTTGTTTGAGTTATTTTCTCTTGTGTCTTCATGTGAGCTAAAATCATTTGTTGTCTCCAGGGTATTGATGGGGTTATATGTTGATGTTGTTCTTAGGCTCTCATCAACTGGTTCCTGTGAGTGTAGTTAGCAAAGGGAATCGTGTATACTGCTCTCATTTGCACTTTTCTATTTATGGTTGATTTGGCTGGTGTCGGTTGCTGATTAGGTGGTATAGCAGCTGGTATTGATTCTTGCCCAGTAGGTGGAACTTCAGAGGGTACAGTTGTGACTGGGTTGTATGAATATGGCTATGCTCTCCTGTTGGCTGGGAAAGAGAAAACCCATCACACACAAAAACATAGAATAAAAAAATATGGAACCAACAATGAAAACGTTTAATAATATAGAGAAAAAAAATAAAATAAAAACTGTCAGCAACCAGAAAAAAGAAATATAATAACTATCAAGACAAAAGAGGGACAAGGAAATAGAGCTATAGAAGAGGTAAAAATGAGAGAAACCGAAAGGAAAAAATGAAAAAGACACTTAAGATTAACTAAAATGAGAAAGAAGAACAGGGAAATGGAACTATAGAAGAGAAAGGATATAAAAGGAAGACATTTTTAAAAAATAACTTAGAAAAAAACACCTAGAGGGGAGATGGAAAGAGTAGAGAATAAAGAAAGATCAAAAGTAAAAAAGGAAATGAGAAACAAAATAATAAGAAAAAATAAAAAGCAGAAATAGAAAGGATAAAATTCAAGGGAATGTGAAGAGGTAGGAGGAAGAGAAAGAATAGACAAACACAATGAAACTACAAAAGGAAAAAAATAAACCCCAAAACAAAACAAAATCCAGTGTATTTGTTGGATCCAGAGTGAAGGAAACTCTGGGGTGGTTGAGGTGGTTGTGGGAGGATTATTACAGTGGAGATCCTGGCCCTAGATGGCGTGCCTAGTGCCCTCAGTGTGAGTATGTTCGGGGTGCTCAATACGTAAGTAAATCATGGAGGTAGTTTCAGTGTCTGTTAGGACCACAGGGTAGCTGGAAGCATGGTGACTAGTTAAATGATGGTCTGGTGGCTCTGTGGATCCTATAGGTTGTATGCCAATCCTACCTGAATTCAGGCACTAGAGCGATGCCCCAGATTGGAGCAGCAGGTCCCAGCCAAACACTGGTGTGGCTCCCAACCTTATGGCTACAAACTCCTGGAGAGTAGGGGTTGTGCTGAGGGTAAATGATAGTGGGAGCTGGTCACACCTCTGGTCACCAGTGGTGATTGTTGTTAGGTGCTGTTAAGTCTGTACTGACTCATAGCAACCTTATGCACAACAGAACAAAACACTGCACAGTCCTGTGCCTACCTCATAATTGTTGCTATGCTTGAGCCCGTTGCTGCTGCCACTGTGTCAGTCCGTTAGGTGGGGGAATCTTCCTCTTTTGAGCCAAACCTTCGCTTTACCAACCATGATGTACTACTTCTCCAGGGACTGGTCCCTCCTGATGATAAGTGTGAAGTGGCCATCCTGGCACCTAAGGAGTATTCTAGCTATACTTCTTCAAACACAGATTTCTTTGTTTGTTTTATTGTTAGTCCATGGTGCTTTTAATATCCTCTTCCAACACCATAACTCAAATGCATCAATTCTTTTATAGTCTTCCTTGTTCACTGTCCAGCTTTCACATGCATATCCTGTATTGAAAATGCTATGGTCTGGTCAGGCCCAATTTAGTCCTTAAACTGACATCTTTCCTCTTGAACACTTTAAAGAGGTCTTGTGCAGCAGATTGCTTAACACAATAGTCATTTGATTTTTTGACTGCTGCTTCCATGAGTGTTGGTGGTAGATCAGAGCAAAATAAAGTCTTTGACAACTTCAGTGTTTTCTCCATTAATCATGATGTTACTTGTTGGTCTGTTTGTGAGGACTTTTGGTTTCTTTACATTGAGTTGCAACCCATACCGAAGGCTGTGGTCTTTGATATCATCAGTAAGTATTATAAGTCCTCTTTGTTTTCAGCAAGCAAGGTTGTATCATCTGCGTATTGCAGGTTGTTACTGAGTCTTCTAATCCTGATGTCACAGATAGTTGCTCAGCATACAGATTAAGTGTGGTGAAAAAATAATAACCCTGGCACACACGTTTTCAGTGTCCCCTTCTTTTCAAATGACTCCCTCTTGGTATGTGCAGTGGTTCCTCTTGAGCACAATTAGGTGTTTTGGAATTCTCATTGTCTGCAATGTTTTTCATAGCTCATCATGATCCACACAATTGAAAGCCTTTGCATAGTCAGTAAAGCATATAGTAAACATCATTCTGTGTTCTCTGCTTTCAGCCAAGATCCTTTTGACATCAGCACTGATATCCGTCCCTTCACATCCCTGTCTGAATCCAGCCTGAGTCTCTGGCAGTTCCCTGTCAGTATGTTGCTGCAGTAATTTTGAATTATCTTAACAGTATTTTACTTGTATGCGATACTAATGATACTGTCTGATGATTTCCACAGTCAATTGGATCACCTCCCCTTTGAATGGGCACAAATATGGATCTCTTCCAGTCAGCTGGTCAGGTAGCAAAAAATTTCTTGGCATAGATGAATGAGTGCATCCAGTGCTTCATCAATTTGTTGAAGAATTTCAATTTGTATTCCTTCGATTCCTGGAGCCTTGTTCTTTGTCAATGCCTTTAGTGCACCTTGGACTTTTCACTCAGTATCATTGACTCTTGATCATATGGTACCTCTTGAAATGGTTGAACATCAACCATTTCTTTTTGGTTCAGAGACTGCATATTCCTTCCATCTTCTTTTGATGCATCAAATCCAATATATTGACCATTGTTGTACATCATTCAGTATTTTGCTCATTGTTGTTTTTAACTACTGTTGATTCGATTCCGATCCATAGTGACCCTGTATAGATTTCTGAGACACAGCTGGTGAGCTTGAACCTCCAACCATTGGGTTCAAACCGACTTTGTAGTCCAGCGTGTTAACCCACAGTGCCACACCAGGACTCAATTTTGCCCATAGAATCCTTCAGTATTGTAAGTCAGGGCTTGAATTTTTGTTTCATTTCTTTGAGTGAGAAATGCTAAGCATGTTCATTCCTTTTAGTTTTCTAACTCCAGGTCTTCATACATTTCATTATAATATTTGACTGTCTTCTCAAGTTGCACTTTGAAGTTTTCCATTTAACTCTTTTAACTTCACATTTCTTCCATTTGCTTTAGCATCTCTATGCTGGAGAGCAAGTTTCAGAGTCTCTTCTGACATCCATTTTATTCTTTTTTTTCTTTCTTATTTTCTTAACGGCCATTTGCTTTCTTCCTGTAAGATGTTCTTTTGTCATACCACAACTCTTCTGGTCTTCCTTCAGTTATTAGTGTCCTCACTGGAGCATGGCTCTCTAGCATAAGCAAGCAGTGGTCTGTGAACCACTAGTAGGTTGAGCCCACCAACTGTTCCAAGGGAGAAAGATGTGACTTTCTACTCCTACAGAGATTTACAGTCTCTGAATCTCTAAACAGGGTCCCTATGAGTTGAAACTGACTCAATAGTATAATAACAATATCAGATGTGTGTTTGTGGGTTTTTTATGTAAATAAGCATTTTCCCACATTATTAAAAATTCTTACAAGTATTTAATTGCTTTGTAATAACCTATGCTGCTCCTTCCGTGTGCCATCAAGTCAGTTGCGCATCATAGTGACCCTGTATAAGGTTTCAGAGGCTGTAAATTTTTACTGGAGAATAAAGCCTCATCTTTCGCCTGTGGGATGGCTGGTGGATTCAAACTGATGACTTTGTTGTTAGCAGCTCTACTTGTAACCGACTCTGCTACAAGTGTTCTTTATAATATTCTGTAGTAAGGCTGTATTCTCTTAGTTTTGGATGTTTAGATAGTTTCCATTATTCATATAGGTTATCACAATAATAAATACTTTCCTAGTGCCTAAAGATGTTTTGAGTTTTTCTGATTGTTGATTTAAGCTGTTGTTTTAGGAGTGGAATTTCTGGGCACAGTGTTTTAACATTTTTAAGGCTCTTGCTTGGTGTTACAAAATTACTTTCTATACAAACTATAGCAGTGCCCAGGCTCGCCAGCATTGGGTGCCTGTCATCCCACCTCCCGCCACACTCCATGTCAGTCCTGCTTTGTTGTATTTTAGCCTCACTAGCTGCTGGTTAGTTTCTCATGCACTCTTAGGTTCCTTTCTTCACATGGAGTCTGTATCTGTGGTTCTCTTTGCCTGCAGTGCTTTTGCCATCTTGCTGAAGCTGATTTCTAATTTTCCTTCTTAGCACTTTATAAATAAAATATATTTGTATGGTCAGTTTATTTGGTGGGGGAGAAAAAGTAATACCATCTTGTTATGTCATCTAGTTCAAGTATATAATGCACTTTGCTGCTGCTATGTTGTGTGTGATTAATTAGCCACAGTTAGTTTTTATTAATATTTAAAAGACTTTTCCTTCTCCATTTGTTTTCCTTTCCCAAGTTGATTACTGCAGTGGTAATGAAGAACTGGAGAGAGATTGTTGAATCCTGTGACCTTAAAAATTGGAGAGAGGCTTTAGCTGCAGTATTGACTTATGCTAAACCAGATGAATTTCCAGCCCTCTGTGGTAAGAAAATGAACTTTGTATTTAATGTCTCACAAAGATGACATGGTACATATTAAATAAAATTAATGACAAATTTTATTAGAAATTTTTGTTAGCCTACTAATCATAAATAGAAAAAGGAAGTTATTTGAATTATTTTATCAGAAATACATTATTTCTCCATACCTAGTCATTATTTAGAGTCCTGGTGTGGCATTATAGTGTAACCTCTGGACAGATAATTGCAAGGTTGGAAGTTCAAATCTACCAGCTGCTCCTTGGAAACCTTATACAGGGTCGCTATGAGATGGAACAGACTCTACTGCACTTAATAACAACAACAAAAATAACATTAATATTTATAAAGATTTTTGTTGGCTGCGAACCATAAGGTCAGCAGTTCAAAATTACCAGCTGTTCCGCGAGAGAAAGATGAGGCTTTCTGCTCCTATAAAGATTTACAGCCTTGGAAATCCTGTACAGGGTTGCTATGAGTTGGAACCGACTCCACGTACATAACAACAGCAACAAGTGCTATTGAGTTGGTTCCGAGTCATAGTGACCCTGTATAGGGTTTCTGAGTAGCGGCTGGTAAGTTTGAATCGTAAACCTTGTAGTTCAGACCTACCTTGTGGTCCAGTGCTTATGCTACAGCGCCACACCAGGACTCCATTTATAAAGATGTTATTATTGTTAAGTGCTGTCAAGTTGGCTCCAACTCATCGTGACCCTGTATGGGGTTTCCAGGGAGCAGCTGGTGAGCTTGAATCGCTAACCTTGCAGTTCAAACTGACCTTGCAGTTCAGCACATTAACCCACAGTGCTGCATAGTGTTTAATAATTTTGATTTGGGCAGACCAGGGTTGGAATCTTGTCCCTCCCTATAACTGTATGATCTAGGAAAAATTACTTCCTGAGCCTCATTTTACTCATCTGTGAAATGTTACATAATAAACAGGTCTCATTTGAGACAGACTAGGAAAAGTTTACTTCCAAATATCAGGCAGTTTACTTCCAAAATATCAGGCACTGAAAACTCTGTGGATTTCAACTTTCTGATCAGCAGTCAGTCATGATCATAAGCAGCAGTTTTGTTCTTTTGACACACAGTTACCATGAGTTGGGGTCCAACTAACAAGGACGATAAAAATAGTAATTATAACGTTTGAGTAAAAATTGCCATTAAAGTCCATGACTGAACTGGCAGCTAAGGAATAAATATTCAGTCTTTGGAAAAAGGTACTGTAAAAATGCTAGTATGAAAACAATCATTTGCTATCTGGAAGTATTGAGGATATAAAAATTACATGGTATTAATGGTTATAATCATAAATCATTTCTAGTAGCCCTAGTTGCCATTTGCTTGTTTATCCAGAACCAGCCATGTTTCAATCTGCTGATGAGAAAACATCTTATGTGGTAACCCAAAAACCATAGCCACTGCCACAAGACTATGACTGTGACTCACAGAGACCCCATAGGGTTTCCAAGACTTTATGGAAGCACATTGCCACATCTGTTTCTCACAGAGCTGCTGCTGGATTCAGACTGTCGCTCAATTGGTTAACAACTGAGCACTTTAATCACGGTGCACCAGGGATCCTCTGATGTGATGAAATGGAGTTCCATGTTTATTCATATTTTTTCTTATATAGTGATCCCTTTTTAAAAAAATATACCAGAAATCAATTATACAGCAGTTACACAGCTAGGCATAGATTTTGGTGAAATTGTTATATATAATTTGCCACTTAATTCTATTTATTTAAGGAGCCCTGGTAGAATAGGGTTATACATTGGACTGCTAACCACAAGGTCAGTAGTTTGAATCCACCAGCCACCCTATGGAAGAAAGAGTAGGCTTTCTTCTGTGAACATTTTTAGCTTCGGAAACCCTACGTAGGATTGCTGTGAGCCAGAACGGATTCCATGGCAGTGGGCTTGGTGTCTTGGGTGTATTCATTTAGTAAAGAAGTATTTACTAAGCATTTAGTGTATGACCCTGATTTTGTTTCTCTTGATACTCGTTGGTTGTGAACTTTAATCCCTCCTTCTAAAATTATTAAACTGTTCCCTGATTTAGATTGCTGACAGTATAATCTTCCTTTTTCTTTTGATCCATAGATCTTTTGGGAACTAGGCTTGAAAGTGAAGGTGATAGCCTCCTGCAGACTCAGGCGTGTCTCTGCTATATCTGTGCAGGGAATGTAGAGAAGCTAGTTGCATGTTGGACTAAAGCTCAAGATGGAAGCAACCCCTTGTCCCTTCAGGTTAGTATCTTTTAAACAAAATATGGTAATTACTTTTTAGTGTTGTTTTCCTCCCTACGTATGATCAAGTTACATTATAGAAATGTATTTTTCACTGCTTACACCCTACCTACTTACAAGTTGTGTTCTGGAAGTTCTTTTTCTAGATAAATATATGTATCATCTTTTGAAGAATTTGTGAGATTGAGGTTGTCATTTGGCAGAATTTTAGGGGAAATGGATGGCAAGGGACTAAAAAATGCTCAAGGATTTACCTCTTTTCACTCTTGTTCCTTTCTCTGACCCTACTTGTTTCAGGCAAAGCAGGAAGAATTAGTGTAAAGAGTGGGAGGCTGCATGAATAGTGTCTTTTAGAAAGCTCATTACAGGGCTGCTCCCTATGAGTTGGAGGCTAAAGATATCCCAACTGTTCAACTTTTCCAACATGTTATGCTGCTCCATTGTCCTTGAAATCAATTACGCCTCCTCTCTTCCCTCAAATCCCAGGATTCTGCAACACACTGCAACGTCTCACAAAACTCACACTTGTCAAATGAAATGACTCACACAATTGTGGAGGCTGCCAGGTCCCAAATCTGTAGTTCAGAGATCAGTCTGGAGGAATCTTCTCACCCACGTAGTCTCAGAAGCTGAGGAATCCAAATTGGCAGGTCAGATGACAGGCTGTTGATGCATGAGACTGCAGGAGCTGGTGAATCAGGTCAGGTGATGGGCCGAAACTCCTATGAACTAGGAGGTCAGATATAAAGAGCCAAATGCATGATCCAGGGCAAGAGAAAGCGCTTGTCTAAAGCAGTCTTATAAATTGGAATCCGAATATGCCTCTAAGGGAAACTAAAAGTGGTGATTTGAGTCATACCCTCTACTAAGGTGGGAGCATCCTTAATCCTTTGTTCTAATATAATCTGTGCTACTTGTGTTGTTGTGTGCCATGGAGTCGGTTCCAACTTGTAGCAACCCTTTACAGGGTTTCTGAGTCTGTAAATCGTTAGAGGGAGCAGAAAGCCTCATCTTTCTCCTGCGGAACAGCTGGTAGTTTCGAACTGCTGACCCTGATGTTAGCAGCCCGCCCGATTTGTAACCACTGCGCTACCAGAGCTCCTTAATCTGTACTCGTTGTTGTTGTTGTTGTTAAGTGCCATCGAATTGGTTCCGAACCATAGTGACTCTGTATAGGGTTTCCGAGGAGCAGCTGGTGAGCTTGAACCACCGACCTTGCAGTTCAGATGGCTTTGCAGTCTGGTGCATTAACCTGCCGTGCCACACCAGGACTCCAAACTGTACTCCTTAGTCCTACTTTAATTTTTACTCATTTCAAAATGAGTCCATAATTAGGGCATATTGTTAAGTGCTGTCTAGTTGGTTCCAACTCATAGCGATCCTGTATAGGATTTCTGAGGAGCGGCTGGTGACATATAACATTGACATTGTGGTAGAGTGTTTATCCTTCAGTGCCACACCAGGACTCCAATCACTGGCATGGCATAGAGACTAGAATTTAATATACATCATGAAATGCAGAAATTTGGCTAGAAGAGCCATAATAAATAATTTAGCTGCTCTGCAGAGGCATAATATAATATTTCAGCATAATTCTTTTTCTCTTTGGAAAGAGATTCTCTTAGTAGACTTCCTCTAAAGATCTTTGTATATTGAACTTGAAAATCAAGCAGGAAATCTAGGTTTTTCTGCTAAGTATTCTTTGTGTGTATGTGGGGGGTTAATACTTGTTCCACACTTGTGGATTTGTGCACTATAAAAATAATTCTTATTAAAGAACAACACAAGAAAGTTAAAGTTAAATGATTTGGAACTCGTGTGCCTCTGTGTCTACGTTAACTCAGAGTTGTAAGATTTTTCTGACAGTACTTTGTTCACTCACAGTTCGCCTATAGCTACTAGAACCTGGTTGCTGCCTTCAGACTTTTTTTTGCTGCCTTCAGAACTCACTTGGTTCAAATGGACTTGTATTTGTTTTAAAACAAGACAGGTAGCTAGCCATATAAAGCTACTTAGAAGAAGATGGTAACTTACTTTATTCATGAGCTAGATGCCTTCCTGCTTACTTGTTTTTAAATACCTAAATGTTGTTGTTGTTAAGTGCCGTCGAGTCAATTCTGGCTCATAGTGACCCTGTATTGGGTTTCCAAGGAGCGGCTAGTGAGTTGAACTGCCAGCCTTGTGGTTCATGCTGACCTGGAGGTCGAGTACTTATCCTACAGTGCCATACCAGGACTCCAGAACTTTCTGATGGGGATAATAATAGTAGATACTATACTTTTTTTTTTTAGTTGTAAAATACAGATAACATAAAATTTGCCACTTTTAGCTTTTTTGAGTGTATAATCCAGTAGTCTACCATTCATCTATGAGTATTTTGGACTGTGTTGGTTTCTGTGTACTGTTTTGCTGGAAGCTGTGCCACTAGTGTTTCCAGCAGGCTCACCCATGGAAGGCAGATTTCAGTGGCACTTCCAGGCTAACAAAGACTAAGAAGGAGAGGCAGATTACTTCTGAAAGTTTAGCAACTAAAAACCCTATGAATATCAGTGGAACATTGTCAGATGTCTGAAAACACTATGAATAGCACCAAAATATTGTCAGATGCAGTGCTGGAAGATGAACCCCTCTGTTTCAAAGTCACTAGCAATATGACTGGGGTCGGGGAAGAGCTGCCTCCTCAAAATAGAGTTGATGGTAATGATGTAAATGAAGCAACGCTTTCAAGACCTTTAATTGCTGATGGGACACAACTCAAAATTAGGACAAACCATTGCAAACATCCATTAATAATTGGAACATGGAGAGAACAAACAAGATGGCAGATCGGGTGGACGTATAGCAGAGAGCTC